TTCATAGAAGGCCACCAAATTTGTCAGGCCTGACTTGTCCTTGGTGAAGCCATGCAGGCTGTCACCAATCACCTCCTTGTTTTCTATGTGCCTCAGCAGAGTTTCCAGGAAGACCTGCTCCATGATCTTGCCAGGCACAGAGGTGAGACTGACTGGCCTGTAGCTCCCTGGGTCTTCCTTCTTTCCCTTTTTGATAATAGGGGTTATGTTTCCCCTTTTCCAGTCGGTAGGAACCTCACCAGACCACCACGACTTCTCAAATATGATGGCTAGTGGCTTAGCGGCTTCATCTGCCAGTTCCCTCAGGACCTGCGGATGTATCTCATTAGATCCCATGGACTTGTGCACCTTCAGGTTCCTCAGGTGGTCTCACTTGATCTTCACCTACAGTGGGCGGTTTTTCATTTTCCGAATCCTTGCCTTGGCCTTCTGTGACTTGGGCAGCGTGGCTGCAGTCCTTGCCAGTGAAGACTGAGGCAAAAAAGTCATAGAGTACTTCAGCCTTGTCTCTCTCCCGGGTAACTAGTTCTTGTGTTTCCTTCCAGAGAGGACCCACCTCTTCCCTAGTCTTTCTTTTCTCGCTAACATACTTAAAGAAGGATTTTTTGTTTGTCTTAATGTCCTTGGCCAGATTTAGTTCTATCTGGGCTTTAGCTTGTCTAACCCGATCCCTGGCTGCTCGAACAATTCCTCTGTATTCCTCCCAGGCTACCTGCCCCTGTTTCCACTCCCTGTAGGCCTCCTTTTTTCTTTTGGTCATGTCCAGGAGCTCCTTGTTCATCCATGCAAGCCTCCTGGCTTTTCTGCCTGCCTTCCTCTTTGTAGGGATGCATCGCTCCTGAGCTTGGAGGAGGTGGTCCTTGAATATTAACCAACTTTCTTGGGCCCCTCTACCCTCCAGCGCTTCATCCCATAGCCCCATACCAAGCAGATTCTTCAAGAGGCCAAAGTCAGCTCTCCCAAAGTCCAGGGTGGTCAGCCTGCTGCGCACCTTCCTCACTGCCTCGAGGATCTCGAACTCCACCATTTCATGGTCACTACAGCCCAGGCTGCCCTTGAGTTTGACACTGTCTACCAGCCCCTCCTTGTTGGTAAGAATAAGGTCCAGCATAGCTCCTTTCCTCATTGGCTCCTCAACCACTTGGCGAAGGAAGTTGTCGTCAGTGCAATCTAAGAACCTCCTGGATTGCCTACACCTGGCTGTGTTACCCTTCCAACAGATGTTGGGGTGTTTGAAGTCGCCCATGAGACCCAGGGTCTGTGAATGTGATGCTGCCCCTATCTGTCTATAGAGGGCTTCATCCACTCGGTCTTCTTGGTCAGGTAGCCTGTAGCAGACCCCCACTGTAATGTCCCCTGCTCCTGGTTTCCCTTTCATCCTAACCCATAGGCTCTCAGTTGGCTCTTTATCCATCCCTAGGCTGAGCTCCATGCATTCCAGCTGCTCGTTGACATATAAGGCAACACCATCTCCTTGTTTCCCTTGCCTGTCTCTCCTGAAGAGCCTGTAGCCTTCCATGCCAACACTCCAGTCATAGGAGTCATCCCACCAAGTTTCTACGATGCTAATGAGATCATAGCTCATCATCAATGAGATGAGAAAAAGTAAGATAGGTTTTTTCGTCATGTCACATTTAATATGATTACAAACCAATTCGGTGACAGAAGTTGTGACGTGGGTGTGACTCTCGGATGTAAATACTGTTGATTAAAACGAAGCAGGTTGGCTCAGGGCCTAAAGGTGGAGACCGCAGAACTGCCATGGGTTTTTGGAAAGGAGAAAAGGGTCCCTGCATAGCAAGAAGCACTAATGAAATACCAAAGGAGCATTAGGACAATACTGTGGCATCATGGGTGATTAAAATCTCCAGGAAGATGAGATTGTGGTATATAAGTGGTTCCATAAGAAGAGTGGAAGATTCTGAGCTCGTCTAGATATTTATAAGTTTGACTGACCACTGGTCACTGAGGATTTTGGTGGAATTTAGTTTAAATTAAGATCCTAATTCTGTAGCTGTGAAAGCTTCAGGTGAACTCTAACACACTTCCTCTTCCCTCTGACAAATGCTTGATGGGGAGCTTACAGGAAGGTTACCGAGGATGAAGAGGATGAAAAATCCCCTTTGGAAGACTGTTTCACACCTAGGCTTAATGAAACTGGCTTGGAACTCGTTTACTTCTTAGCATAAGCACCTATGTCTTCCCTTGTGGAAGACACCTTGCTGACCTTGCACCCACCCTGCTGAATCATTCCACCAACTTATGATCTCCTTAACATAAGTGGGAGTAGGGTTATTCCCTAGAGGAGGATGGTCTAACTTGTTTCTCATTTATGTGTTTTGAATTTCTGAAGAGAAAAAGTAAAAGGCTGTTATTTAAGAGGGTCTATGGGACAAGGAGAAACTGACCTCACATGTATAGAATAACATATACCTCCATTGGAGGGATCTGTTGTGTTTTCCTCTGGTAGCAGCATTTTTTGCCTTTTAGCAGCTGTAACCATAAAATTAGAGCTATAGTCAAAAGGCCAAGAGCAAAGCAGTCATCTCATGATTGAGAGGGCACCTGGTCTTCAAATGTCAGTACCAAAGCTGAGGACTATGTAAAAGTAAATAGTAAAAAGTAAAAAGTTTTTAATTTGAAAATTAATTTGCAATGATTCTGAAGTGTTTCAAGAGCCTGTTAACTCTTTAACGTTATGTTTAGAGTTTTGAACTACCGCTGTGGTTCAAATGCATCTCTGGAACTTGTGGTTAATCTTTTGTCCACAAATCCATGTCAACCAGGAAAAAAAAACCACTCATCAAGCACAGCTTTACCAGCATAACTCATTGTTTGGATGAAGCACTCCCAACAGCAGAGTGCTTTTGTTGACTTTGCTGATGTCATTCAGAGAAGTTGTGTTGCCATGTCAGGGGAAAAAACTTTCACAGAACGTATAGCGTCTGTGTTAGTTACACCGATGCTGGTCTGTAATCTGAACGCTGTCTGAGGTTTTTGTTTAGTCCTGTCTTTATATAGACCTTCATGTCTGGCTCTAGATTGGTTACTTTACCATGCCTATGCCTTACCTTCAAGTTGAAGAAAATAATGCTTCCTTATCCCTGCCATTTTATGTCTAATTAAATTGTTACCAGAGCTGTGTGTTCTATATATGGTGGGTAGATCTTAATAAATATGTTATTGTTCCCTTTTCAAGATAGAGTTCAAAAGCCACCTGCAACAGGGATTCGGCCGGGCTTATTTTTGTTAGGAGCAATGCCTACTAACAGATCGAGACTTGAGGCTGAGTCTTATAAAAGACTCTACTTAAGCCTCAGATGATGAAACTTGATGTCCGTGGCCAGCTGTAGAAGTTATGTTGCTCCTTGGCTTATAACTTTCTTTTAAAGTGACAGTAGATGATGTAGTTGATCAACACAGGAAGACACTGTGGGTGGGATTCAGCTCACTTAAGGTGGGTTTTCTACAATGTAGACATTAACATCCAAGCTGCTTACATATCCTTCAGTCAGTAAGGAGAATTAGGCCCTTTTAGGACACAACTCATCTTACCTATTCTAGATGCCTGCTTTAGGATGCTGATTTCCTTTTTCTCCCTAGTGATTATAAAGAGAGTCTAGATGTCTAGCTTAGATGTCAGTGTCTAGAAGAGGTCAGGAGAGCTGTCCTGCATGCCTGTAACTCTAGCTGATAGCTGTGTGATACAAAGGAGCATTCAAACAGGGCCCTGCGAGGTGGAACTTTAACAGAAAAAGACGTATCTTTGTCCAAGCAGATGAGCATACCTACTTGTGTTCTGCAGCTCAGAGGAGCTTGTGGAGAAAGAGCTGCACTGATTGGGGAAGGCACCTTAAGGTAGGGTGAGAAGGCAAATTAGAAGCAGTTCAGCATGTCATCCACCTTCTTAACCAGAAGGAAATGTTTTTATGTTTCTGGGAATAAAGAAGACAAGTTCTTGAAACCAAGCTTTATCTGATGGAAGTGGTTAGAACAGGTCTTAGTTAATTCCTATCATTCTAGTAGGTGGAAAACAACCTCATATAATAAATATTATTCTTCTCAAGTAAATCTGTTAAGGTAATGAACTGTAACTCTTAACTTTTTTTTTTTTTTTAACAAGCCTTCATGTGCTTGCCCTAACCTGATGGGGGTGTTGGCTTTCTTGTCAGTGCTACCATGTGGGTGGAACAGCAGTGCTCAACTTTTAACAGGAGCAAAGCTTCATTTTGCATGCTCCTTATCCTGCCAGCTCTGAGATGTAAGGCTGGCAATGAACTTGAGAACCTGGGCAGGTTGAGGCTGGGGGGTTGAATGTTCAGTGAATTTTGTGGGAGGGAGTGGCAGCTGCATTGCCTGCATGTTTGGTCCCAACCTTTTTTGCAGGTACCCACTGTTGCACCCCCGTTCTGCCAGTTGTGACTCTGCCTAAAAATCCACAGCTAAAATAATATGAAGGGAGGTTAAGATTTAGCCCAAACTCCTGTATTTAAAAGATCTGGTATAGTACTTGGATTTGATATAAACTCTCTTGGTCATGTGCTATTAAGAGTGTGACATTTGCTCTATGGTCTCCAATTCTCAGTTTCTGAGAAAAAAGTATATTGGGTAACACAAACAGCTCAATTTATTTTTAGTACATGAATTATTGTAATAAATATCAGGCAAACTAGTGTTTACAAACAGAACGTATTGTATGAAAAAGTGTATTAATTTATAAATTTAAAAATAAGATACTGTCAAAAATGTTTCAAAGTGTATTTGGATTATGAAGTACAGCAATCTTAGAGATGTGAATGAGTGTTTATAGTGAACCATAGGAAGGCTTGCATAATGGACATTTCTGGCAAACAGTTGTGTTTCTGTTTGCAAGCTAACTGCTCTTTCTAGCCTTAGTTTTTATTACTTTTTAAATTTTTAATCATATATAAAAAGCTGGAATTTTGCATTAAACTCAAACATTCACAAATCTTCCTTCCTGTTCTATGTTTACTACTTAGGAGGGAGTAGCATCCCCTACTGATCTAGACCTTGTGATGTCTGATGGATTGGGAATGCGATATGCATTTATTGGACCTCTGGAAACCATGCATCTTAATGCAGAAGGTAGGTAGTTAAAATGATATGAATATGAAGGGAAGGCTTACATTGCACAAGACTCTGGAAATGTGATATAACAAACCAGGTTAGGATTGCTGCAACTATGACTTGTCTCTATCTTTACTGTCATGGTAAGAAAAGGAAAATTTATCTAAAACTTGAGGTTGGATGGAAGGAAACGGATATTGACTATCATATTGTAACTGATCAGATGAAAGATGACAAATCATTGAAACAGTAGCTCTGTACTTCAATTTTCCAAGATTTGTCCCAGTGCTTTGCAAACAGTGCTGTACCCATAGGTCAGGACTGTCTGAATGTCAGGAAAAGAAAGTATTGAAAAAGTTTATCTGATAATCCGATGTCAACAGAAACTCACTTTATGTAGAGGAGTGCTTCCCCCCCCCGAATTTGTAGCAAAGACAGTGTAAATATCGCTGGTGCTAGCTTGCTTTAAGATGGCTTAAATCCCGAGTGAAGTAAAATTGCTTCTGGCCACAAAATGCTGTGTGTACAAAGTTGACTTGACAAAGCAGTCAAGTAACAGTTCAACATCTGACTTGCATGATCAAGACAGATTTTTATATGCTTTCAGAATAGTATACATGAATCCTAGCTAAATAAAAAGGGAATTGCATAAAATTAAATAAAATTACAGATCAGGATTACAAAGGTTTGAATGTAACAAAACACATAAACTTCAAGAAGTGAAGGTCAACTAAATACATTTTTAGCTCTTTATATTCTGGGCTCTGTCTTTATTCTGGTTTTGTGAGGTCTCTGACATGGTAGGCCTCTGCTCCATTACTGGATCTTGTAGGCAGTGCTGACATGCCTAATAATAAAATAAAAATAAGAAACTGAAATCATAAAATATCAGTGCACAATTAGAAGTGTTACTTTATGTCGACTTGTTGGTTAGTTACTTGTCTGAAACTTGCATCTCTTAAGGCTGACTAAGCGAGTTTGACATGAATGTGGAATTGTGGATCCTCCACCAGAGTCTTTCAGCTTGTCAGTGTATCAGTAAATTAAATGTCACAGTGTTTGCTTTTGTGCATTGTTAGGTAAACAACATCTGTCCTCCAATTAGAGGCACCCTCCTAAAAGTTTCCCTCTTCTGATCTGTCAATATCTGGCCGTTTCCAGTCCTCTCTAGTGATTTTAGACTTATTCAATATAAACCATGTATCTTCTTTACATAGAACAGAACAGATGCACGTAAGTACTAGCCTTAAGCACAGCAATCTACCTGGAGTCTTGCAGGCTGGGGTTGTCCAGTCCTGCCCTCACCACTCCACTAAGCTGCCATGCCATCCTCTGCAGGAACCGTCCGCGCACAGGGTCTTCTGTCAGAGCAACTTGCTGAACTGCCTCTACTAAAACATAGAACCAAACCAAAATGCTTGTTAATAGCAAAAAAATTTTAATCCGTTTTAGAGATCAAATCATGCTTGTGAATCCTTTTTTTTTAATCCATGTTTTAGACTCCTTAATCCTTATTTACAATGTTTACTTGAGATGAATGGAATTGTATATGTCATCTGGGTTGGTTTTGATGGTCTTCCTGGAGTGCCCTTTGGCATTTAATGCGCTCTATCATGATCTAGCTTAGCTTCCTCCCTCCCATCAGCAAGTAGTCATTGTTACAAAAACACTTCTGAAATTTCCCATCTCAAACCAGTTTTATGTAACATATGCACCCGGTAGGTTGCTTATTCATGGCAGGGTTCTAGAACCCTATCCAGCTTCTAGATTTAATGCTGCCGTCTCTTAGGAATTTCAGTATTCCAGATCAGAGGAAGAAAAATTATGAAATATAATCCAAGAGACTGATAAACTGGAAGAGTAGTCTTGTGGTGGGCTTGCAAAATACAAACCCAAAATATACCTGTGGAGTTATTTTAACATTATATAATATTCTCAATTAAAAATACCTTAAAGTAACATCATTGTACACTCGTGGACTGGGTCAGTTACACAAAAGCACCTTGTCAGCTTGTTCAGTAACTTGGATCATGAGAAGTATTGCTTCACTCCCAATCTTCAAATGCATTGTCCCTGAGTCTAGAGCTGCTCCTGTTTATGTGCTGGCAGGCTGACTCAGGCTGTTGCTCTCATCAGAGACGGTTTAAATCAAAACTGCTGATGTCAGGACACTTGATGGCTTATGGTCATAGTTCCGTACCAGTTCCATCTTCTCTTTGGTTGCCCAGTGTTGCTTGACATAATACAGAATAGAACGGACCGCCTCTTGATTGCCCAGGACAACCCGCTCTGATGCATTGTACTAATAGTGTGTATTTTTTATCAGTGGAGGGAAATGGAGGTAGAGATAAGAAATCCCCTCTATCCTGTTTGTTAGCCTGTCTAGCAGCTTCACCAACTTCCCAGTAGCTGCCTTTCTTTATAGCCATAAGATATTAATTACCCACAATCTTAAACTCTCTGTTAATCGGTGAGGAAGGATGGTGGGGATGCAAGGAAGTACATGAGAGGAAAAATAGTGTTATTTGTGGGATATCTTGGAAAATGGATAAGTCTTTCTTCCTGGTTGCTGTGGGGGGTTTGGTGTTTTGGTGGTTTTTTTGGTAAGGGTGATGTGATTTTTTGGTTTTGAATAAAGCATATTATTCCAACAATTTTTTTTCTGACATCAGTGTTATTTCTTTCCCTGTGGGATGTGTACATCAAGATCTTCCCTTGAACTTTCTATGTGCTAATGCCAGGTTTCCCCCCTGTTAATTCTTATGTCGTTTCCTCCATATTCATAAATAGTCCTCTCAAAAGCTATTATCTAGGCCACTTTAGATCACCAGTTAATCCATGCATGAATATTAGGAATTTTGAATATATGGCAGTGAGCCAACAGCCTTGAACATTGGAATAAAATGACAGCGTCAAGTCACTAAAATGAGCAGAAGCAGCAACAGCACTTTGAGAACTGAATTGCAACAAACAGGAATTAAACCCCTTTGAGGGGGAAAAAAGCACATCCAAATTGCGTAATGTTATCATGCTGGTTGTTGGTTTCAGTAAATAAAATTCATGTTGATTTTTGTTTCAGTAAGCTCTGTCTTCTGAGTCTGTCATTTTATGATTTCACATGGCAGCATCACAACAAATGCTGTTGTCTTTTACAAGGAACATCAGTAGACTTCACTAGAGTCATTTTGCTGGTTTACTTATTGTGGGATTACGTTAGCAGACACAATGTCCCTCCTGTATATGTACCTGGCTATTTGTGAATATACTGAAGGTGATCCAGCCTCAATAAGATTGTATCTCCTGAATCTCTTGTTTCTTGAACTGTTAGCTCCTTTCAAGCCCTTGCAAAAAATCATCTGTAAAACCAAAGGCTAGACTATCATATACTGTGTTTTACATGTTTGCAGCAAAAGTTCTTCATATATATTTCATAATTATCTGTCTTAGATCAGTTACTTTATTAGTGGGTTATTTAGTGAGCTAGACTTGGAATTTAATCTAAATATTAGCAGAAGAGCTGGATAGGGGAGGTTGAAGGACCTTTGTTGCTCTTTTCTCTCCTGCATTTCTAAAAACACCATTCCAGGATCATATTCTGCCTATCACTCACTGTGGTATTAGTACAGGTGACTACAGGAGTTGTGTGAAAATTGGGGCTGAGGTATGGTCCCTATAATATAAGTGCAAATATCCGGTAAGCTAGGAGTGAGTCTTCATGGTCAAAATTGTGTTTCTCTTACTGGAAATGGGAATGCTTGCTTGTCGTAGAAGCACCAGCCAGATGAATTAGTTTTGGATGATAGGAACAGAATGATTGTGCTGTATGAAAAGCACAAAACATGAAAAGGAAAGAGCTGGGGAATCATAAGCCATAGTTCAAAGGAAGGAAATTTTTCTTGTCTGGCTAGGCAAAACATAAACATGCATGTTTTCTAACAATTACTGTAGACAGGTATTCTGGCTGGTTCAAAAGCAGCACCTTCTGAAAGGAGCACATGACTTTGCACAGGAATTCTTAATGCTTTATTGCTCAAGTCATAGATGAAAGAACACGTTTTGGTGTGTTACAGGAATTCTTAATGCGTTATTGCTCAAGTCATTATAGATGAAAGAACACGTTTTGGTGTGTCCTTCTCCCTTATGCTAAGAAAAGAATGTGTATGGTCACCAAGTGGCTCATACTTAGGAATTCATCCCAGATCTGATCATGGTCTCAGTTGGGATCGAGTTAACTTTTTTACTAGCAGCTGATACAGTGCTATGTTTCAGATTTGGAATGAGAAATACTTTTGATAGCACACTGGTGTTTTTAGTTGTTGCTAGGCTGTCAAGGCCTTTTCTGCTCCTTATATTGCCCTGCCAATGAGTAGGCTGGGGGTGCACAAGAAGTTGGGAGGAGGCACAGCCAGGATGGCTGACCCCAACTGACCAAAGGGATATTCTGTACCATGTGACATCATGCTCACTATATAAAGCTGAGAGAAGAAGAAGGAAGGGGTGGACGTTCGGAGTTATGGCATTTGTCTTCCCAAGTAACCATTATGCGTGATGGAGCCCTGCTTTCCTGGAGATGACTGAACACCTGACTGCCGATGGGAATCGTAGAATTGGTTTGGTTGGAAGAGACCTTTAAGATCATCAAGTCCAACCGTTAACCTAGCATTGCCAAGGTACCACTAAACTATGTCACTAAGTGCTACATCTACAAGTCTTTTAAGTATCTCCAAGGATGGTGCCTCAACCACTTCCCTGGGCATCCTGTTCCAATCTTTAATAACCCTTTTGGTGAAGAATTTTTTCTTAATATCCAATCTAAACCTCCCCTGGCACAACTTGAGGCTATTTCATCTTGTCCTATTGCTTGTTACTTGGGAGAAGAGAGCACCTCTCTACAACCCCACCTCTCTACAACCTCCTTTCAGGTAGCTGCAGAGCAATAAAGTCTCCCCTCAGCCTCCTTTTCTTCAGGCTGAACATCCACAGTTCCCTCAGCTGTTCCTCATAACACTTGTGCTATA